GAGGTTAGTTGAGCTGAGACAGTGTAAATGAGAACCTGGCTCTCTCCAGTGCAGACTAATACTAAAACACTGCCCACCTCTTTTTCAAACGTGGTTTTGTTTTTTTGTTTCTTTTGGTAGCCATTCCCTTTTCCTTCTGATCAGCACATGAAGACTCAGAGTGATGTACAGTGCACTGCAGTGTTGTGTCACAAGTCCTGCCCCTGTTTTGACATGTGTCATGACATTGCATGCAAACCTCAAAGGGGCAGAGCTTTGACAAATGCAGCAAAAGCCTGCAGATGGTCCTGTTTTTGACAATGGCTTCCCCCTCCCCTCAGGCATCAGGCTATCAGAAATGGTATTGCTGGAGGTCTAATTCAGTTGCTCCCAAGGAGCTTTTTAAGTGAGGACAAGGGCCACTTGCTGCAATTATTTCTCTGGGAATATATACTTCTACCCTTCTGTGTCATTTGTGCAAATCTATATACTTCTAAAACTCTCGTGTTTATCTGTTGGTCCTTCAAGTTAACCCAAAAAGTGCATTATACAGCAACAATTTTTGAATCAAGTTACCTAAAATCCACTAACTTAAAGAATCAGAAAAAAAAAAATCCGGGACCCATTAGTCCTGGGGAATTGACATTTCCACAATATTCAGACCAGTTTTATTTGCAAAGTTGTGGCCACTGCAGCATCTCGCAATCACATGATTGTGATTTCCAACATCCCTGCCAGCTGCCCACAAGCAAAGTCAAGGGGGAAGCCAGCCGGAAGTTGGAAGTCACTCCTGCTCCTACTTCTTTTTTGCCTGCCTGAGGTCATTCTGTTTATCTGTTTAGGTAAGTAAATATTGACTTATTATTGAAGTTCATTTGCCACTACAATTGTTTTTCTATTTACGATACATGCTCTTCTTAGATGATCATGGGACCATCCAGCATTGGAGTAAAAAAAAAAATAAATGGTCAGCCAAAAATTTAATGTTCATTCTGGTCACATCAGACTCCACTACCTTCCTCCCAAAGGATAACCCAACAGGTCACAGGGTTGTCTAGTAGCCTTTAACAAAAGAAGATTGTTTCTCTAGTGTTGAAGATGTAATCAGTAATGCAATGTCTTCTTCTTTCCCTGCAGCATACTACTGTCTTTCCATTGCCCACTTCTGTGCATTTTGACCTCTCCAGTGGGAGAATCCAATGGAATTTACTGCAGATCATTTCCTGAACCGAGAAGGTGAGTTCATGGAGAAAGATGCCTTCATGCCATTTTCAGCAGGTACAGTCTTATGGAAAATGATGGGTGGAAGCTGTTTCATTCTCCCAGAAAAAACAAGGCAAAAAATATCCAATTTTACAAGAGTTCTCTTTCTTCTTCTCTTCAAACTATCTGTGATCTTCATATCCATTCTGCATATTCTGGTTAGTTTCCTGGGCAACATATCAATCTGTTGGCTGATCTACTCTCTCTTCTTTCTGTTTGACAGGGAAACAGGGCTGCACAGAGGAAGCACTAACACAGATGGAGCTCTTCCTTTTCTTCAGTACTCTGCTCCAGAATTTCACTTTCCAGCTGCCTGAGGAGGTTAAGGATATGGATGTAATTTCTTCATATACTGAGTACAGATCCAGGAATTGGTGCCCACTGGTACAAACTATTAAACGTTCAGTGTAAACTTGCAAACTCTAATGAACTGAAGGTGTGAAGCTATGGCTCCAAATCTATTTTTAATTGATAAAAGAGAGAAATTTATTCATTCAGCTGCTCTTAACTTCAGATAGGGTGTGAAAATGAGCAATCAGATTTTAAAATGGATATGAGTGATCAGACTTAACATGTAATCTATATATATATATATATTTTGGTATCGATCCCTTTGAGTCAATTTTAACCCCTGGCAATTTCCTTGGCAGCATTTTCAAAAGGGGTTTGCCATTGTCTTCTTCCAAGGGCTGAGAGAGAGAGAGACT